ATATATATATTATATTATATAAAATGGGAAAAGCAACACTTGGATGCATTTGTTTCTTAATACCATACATATCTTGGCAATCCGTTTTGTTGAAAAAAGAAAAAAGTTCAATATGGCGCACACAAATTTAATTGCAGTTATCAATTTGCAAAAGAAGACAAAAACACAACCGCAATACTATTCTTGCTCATTAGTAATATTTTGGCGCGATTCTTTTATTTTATTTGATAAAAAAGTGAATAAAGTTCAGTTCATAAATCTCATTATTGTCAAAAATTTATTGTGTTTCAAAATTCAGTTTTTCTTAATGGAAGATTTTATTATTATTATTATTATTATTATTATTATTATTATTATTATTATATAACCTATGTAGATTAACATATGGCATACTATGTCACCATCCAATATTTGAAGGTCTTATTGATAATCGGTCACCAAAAACAACAGAAAGGAATCAACATAAAAAAACACTTACACAAGGAACTTTAGAGTTCGATTTCATGCCTTCGTTAGAGGTGCTAACGGAATGAAAATACGGTGTTCATACCATTTCTGAAAATGCTGAAAAGTCTTTCGATCTCATTAATAGATACACTATTCTGTCCTCCCGAAGTTGGTAGGCTATCGATGTGTTCCGTTACACACTGTCAGTAGGCCTATTAGCCTTGGTTATTAACTGCGTATATTTTACTACCCCTGGTTTATAATACTAGCGACAGATTTTATTGTACTGAAAAATACTTTGCTAGAATGAGGTTGTCAGAAATTGTCAATAGCTCTCTAGTAAAACAATGAAGACATTATTTAGAAAACCCCCGGGCGGGAAATTACGGGAATAAAACCATCTTTACCACACGGGTCCTATTGAGATTAATGAAAAAATTATGCAAAGCATTTCAATTTAATCTTCTTCCGAGGGTGTTTTGCATGCACACATTTTCTCCGCTGAATTGTACCCGTTAATTTATTATAGCTATCTCGAGACACAACGACTATGGGAATGGTGTCCGTCACCTAATTGAATCCCGTGAAGTTTTTGTAAGGTTATAATCGTGTTAATTGTAATTTACCCTCTTTGGGACTGCAACTAAATTGTATTTAAACCAATCTACTGTGCTATTTGAGAAGATTATGTCATGTTTGTAACAACATAGAAATATATGTAACCTTGCGCACAATTAAATGTAATCAATCGCACTCAACCAATCAAGCTATTGAACGGGAACATTTAAACAAACTAAATTCACTATTGTGTTGCTATAAGGTTTAGTGATATTTTCGGCCACCGTCATTGTAACGGAGCACACATTTACCTCCAAATGTAAGGATGGAATCATGTACTCTTAATGACACCTGCAAACCATTAATCTATGCATCACTGAGTTTGCCGACGTAAATACATTTGGATATTATTTTAAACTAAATAGTTTTGATCATTAAATATTTACAATAACATTTAACGACCAAACTGCTCAACCCAAAGTATGACAACCAGTAGATCATGTACTTAGGATACAATCTCCAGGTAAATTGTAGATGAGATTGACCTCTGTCTGGTGTACACTATTGAGATTGTGCCTCATCCACTGAATGAACACCTGTTCTACATTATTTACACTGCAAGGTGACAGGGAGCGGTGTGTGCTCTTCCCAGCACCTTGTGACAGACACGCTTGGATTATGTGCCGTCACTGGCCATGCGGCGTGCGCGTGTGCGCGGAGCCGCCGATTTGGCTTCTGCGCGTAACGTACTGCACGCTCGATCAGAAACGCACTTACATATTCAGAGGCGGCTCTGTGGCAACTTTGGAGGGCGTTTTCTCTCTCGTGTGAAAACGCTACCTGGCGCAAAGACCATTTTCCAGTTTGCCCATTGGAAGCCATGGCAGCAGAGAGAAAGTGGGATTGGCCGACCCAGTAACAAATTATAAAATAAATGACAGCAAAAGGCAAAAACTGGGAGGAAAAACAATTCTCTGGCTCAATGCCAAAAAGCCATCTTATTGTTAGGCTGCTGGGCGCAGCAGTTGGTGTGATCTTTCTGTCTGGCATTTGCCTGATGCAGAGCAGCCTTCAGCGCATTTCACAGGCAAAAATTGATCATGAAATACCCAGTCTGACTTATTTAGTGCTTCTCATTGCTGCCGCCAACTCTTTTGTTAAAAATTCATCATCCACCCAGTCATCTAAAGGCTTGACAGTGAGATTTATGAAGGCAGATGTAATGAATAATTCACTAATTAGCCAACAACAACAACAATAATATTCATAATAATAAAGATGAACATACTAAGCAAATATATAATGTAAATTCAACTCTTTACTTGGAAGGGAAGGTCTGCTTTCAGCCCAGGCATATGTTATCTGATATTAAAAATTGCTTCGTTTTACATTAGAGACCAATCAGAAGTCAATCTTCTAGAACAGACTTTCCTACAATCAGATGTCAGTTGCGGACAGGAAGACGGAGCAGGAAAAAAAAAAAAGACAGAAAAACAACAAGTGTGGAAGTGGGTTTTATTGAGAGAGAGAGCGCAGCACCAGCCGCTTATCCTGCGGTGTGTGTGTGTGTGTGTGTGTGTGCCTGAAGCAGCCTGGCTGCTGGGCAGGTCTGCTCGGGGTGAGTGTGCCCAGTTTAAAGGAATTCATTTCCCTCTTCATCAAGAACACTGGCTCACAGTCCGCACACAAAGGCCCATGATTTAGTGAGGGGCCGAAACAAAATCTCAGATTGTTGGTTTTGGAAAATTCATTGAGGCTCTTTGGCAGGCGGAACTTTGACCTGTTGCCGCTCGCTGAAGCCCTGGGCCTTTTGGTGGCGGAGGGCGGCTGAATGGCGGAACAAGTGCGGCCTGTTCTGTTTGTTTACCCTTTTGCCGAGCGGCCCAGGCCCTGGCCATGGGCGACCGATCCCACAGCCACACCACCCCTCAAATTCAGGGGAGTGCAGGAGACAGAGGCGTCCACGCTGCTTGCGTTATCGACCCATACACCCCCCAACACTACCACGGTCCCCTTCCCAGCAGCCCCGGCAATGCCCCACTCCACTGCACCAGCTCCAGTGGCTGCATGAGAATGAAGAAGCCAGGATAGCCAGCTGATTGGTTTCTAAATACAGGGGGTGTCATGGAGGGGGGGAGGGGGTACGAACGACTAAACCTCCAAATGTATTCTCCTCTCTTCTGTCATTCATTGATACAACACAAGCTAAGAGGCTATTATTTTCATCAGATGAAAATGTATGTATTTTTTATGCAAGCAGAATTTTTTTTTTGGAAAAAACAACACACAGCTTAAAGTAGCGATTCATGCCGCCACGGTCACTTGTTTAGGACAGCTGTAGCCAACGTGATGACGTTTTGCGCCTGCTTCAGTAAGGGCATGTCGATCATACTGCCTCGGAAAGTAAAGGCACCCTGGGGGAAGAAAGAAAAAAAAAAAAAGTGAGAGATTTTGCGTGAATTAGCAAATTTGCAGCAATACAAATATGTCAGGAAACAAAGGTCCTTTCGTTGAGGTTAAACAGAAAACAGAAATGCCAAAATAACATTCTGATTCGTGAGTGAAAAATGGGAAGTTGATGATTTTAATGAGAAACTTTTTGTCAGCTGATGAATAAAATACTTCACTGAGCCAAATAATTTTGATCAATGAGCCAAGCCCGTAATGCTTTTGAAGCCCCCAGCGGAGCTTCCGTACCATCTGCGGTAAAAATCAGGGAAATTAGCTTGAGAATTAAAACGAAATGCTTACGAGTCCTGATCCAGAACATCCCAGTGTCTATTTTTCATGGCATATGAATAACTTACATGAAGTGTGAATGATACAAGCGTTAGAATTCAAATGAAACACAATGGGGGGAAAAAAAAACAAAACAAAGAAGGATGGCTTCACTTCAACCTTTCCGTTAATGAAACGAGCGAGTGGCGGCTACTGTCTCTCCTTCAGGCTATTGTTAGTGTAAAAATTACTGGCAGCAAGGTATAAACAGATTGTGTATTACCACCGTACTATCTACATAGCAATAGCCCACAGAGCAGAAAACACAAGATGCAATGATGCACTAAATTAGGAACAATAATATTGGACACTTAATTTTCTTTTCCCATCTTACAAAAAAAAAAAACCTCAAAGCTTTGGGCTGCTGTTTATTTGCAAGAGAATATTACATTTTTGGTTATGCATGAAAACGTGGCATTAAAATGACGGCGATGATCTCCGTGGATGAACAGCGAAGTGTGATGAGAAGGATCTGAGGTACCTTTCCTAATTTCTGGTGCTCTTCAAAAGCAGCTATTAGGTCTTCAGCCCACTTGACTCGTTCAGCACTTGGAGAAAATTCTTCTTGAACAATCTGGACCTGGTTGGGATGGATGACTTGCTTACCTTAAGAAAAGAACAACAAAGATGAAAGATGTCAGATGTGTTACTTCAATATCACCAAAATCATAATCTCTCCAATAAACATAATATGGTGATTAATCCACAGTATGGACCACATCTAATAAGTCTAACGTAATGTCTGCTTTTGCAGTAGTTTGATTGTTAGTTATGCTACACACACCTGTATATTTCCTTGTACAGACTGTACCTAAATGGTAAGTGTTCAGGCCAAAATTCCACTTTGAATGCTGCTGCCCGCCCCTCTATTGCACGCAGGGTCATGTGTTATTCAGACATTTGTCAGACTGTCTTTTTGGAGTGTTAAATATGACAGTGTATCATGTACTGCCTGCCCCAGGGGCTGGTCACCTCTCCCCCAGTGCGTTTCAGAGGTGCTCGCTCTCTGAGAGTCTGGATGAATCAGCTGTGATGACGGACACCATGAATCATGGATTTCATCCCAGATTTTATCCCGGGCCTCAATAAACTATGAAACTGCACTATACGCTCAGTTACACTTCAATCTGCAGTACTGTCTGCGTTGCCTCCAAAGTCTGCTTTTCATTATACTCGTCGTGTGTGACACCCCCCCCCCCCCCAAGGTCTGCCCCATGCCTGTAACTCAGACACCAATGTCACGGTAAAACGCGGCAAATATTAAACAGCTGAACTGCATGTATTAATGAAGAGCCTAAAGTGAGGATTTACAAACTGTCATAATGTATGCCTGTGAAATCCTGGCCTGTTCAGGACACGTGCTGCACCCAAGTCTACTCTATGTTCCACTGGGAAATGTAAGGTGGTTCCAAAAGCTCCCCTCTTACGGGAGAGGAAACATGAGTTTTAAATTTGTCTCTCGCAACCAGGTAGAATCCAGGGGGAAAACAATTATGTATGTTTTACTATGCAGCTGATCACAAAACAAGTTACAGTGTTTTTCATTAAAAAAAAAAAAAAGCAAGGCAGCCCAAAATGACAGATACATTAAATGCAGATTAAACTAAGAAATAAAAATGAGCAAAAAAGAATGATCCATAACAATAGCAATCGAAAACTATTTTTGACATGTCTAAATTAAGCAAAAAGTTATTATGCTAATACATATTAAGTTTTATTTATCTTTTTTATGGCAATATACATTTTTACCTAAAGTACTATGTGCTGTAAATAGTCACATTATTCGCTAAAAATGGATAATATTTTGATAAAACATTTTATGTTAGGTGGCCTTATCTTCCACACAGAATTCCATGTTTTAATTAATGAGTAAGGTTGTTTTAAACATTAGGTGTTTTCCATAGCAAACAGCTAAAAGATTTCATCAACAACATAAATCACAGATGCTCTCTGCTTGTATGAATGAATTCATGCTATCGCTGTTCAGTTTTAAGTTTATTTTCTCTGGAAACGCATAGTTATTATTCATTCAATTTGTACAAAGTTGCTAATTGCGTCTTTCCTTAATGTTTCAAATATGGTGTACAGTCCTGCTATGTTACTGTACTGTGTAGCATGTCATTAACGATGCAACAATGCATTTACATTTACCATTTGATTTTCTGATCATATCTTATGCCGATAACTGCTGACCATAGCTTAATGCTGCTTTTTATTATCGAATATACTTCACTGACTTGTCCCAAAAAATTCTGTCACATCTAGGTCGATTGTCGATGTAACTCTTGTGCTTGCTTCTGGGAAAAGAAGCTTAAAGTAATATCAGAATTAATCAGATTATCAGAATTATGTTTAACAGAATCTGAAGGTTACAAACTGTTCAGAAAGTACACGCTGGAGCGCGCAGGCTTATGGTATCTCTGAAGAACAAATCCGTGTAGCTATAAGATCAGAACAAGACACGTGAGACAAGTATGGGCTCCATCTACAACAAGTTAATCTCTACAATTCCCTCTGCCGATTTTATTTCTTTATTTTCATCGTCTCCTGGTTTGATTATTATCGATTAAATATATTAACGAAACGTGAAGCTAAAAAGTTGTAATGAAACATACTTTAAAAGGTATGGAAACATAACACTTAAAAAAATTGATGCTAAAATTATATCACAAAACTGAATTTGGAAAAATGATTAATTAGATTAGAATTAAAACGAGCAATATTTAATATATGATGCTGAGGAAGGAATCTAAACAGAATGAAATAAATGATTGTTTGAAGACAACAGCTTGAGGTGCAATGTGGCATAAGTAAAGTTTATTGCCTGATAGAGCGGCTGGCCACAAGGCTGGCCACAAGGCTGGAAAGAATAGATTCCCAAAAGCCCACTGTGAGATTTCCTATGTTCCCCCTCCGGATAAAGCCTATTGGGTCAACAGCCTAAAGAGGAGGCCCCCCAGCCCTGTCTGTCACAGCCATTCCACAACAGCCACAAAGGTGGGGGGGCTTGTTTCCTCCCAGCAAAATGTACCCTCTTCCCATTGCTACCACCTGTGCTGGAGCTGTCCAAGCTGGGCTCGGAGAGTGACGGAGCTGGCGGGCTTGGTTCTTCAGTCCTACCTACTGAGCCGTCATTGGCTTTCCAGACTGCATCATTCAGTCTGCTTCCATTCTCCCAGCCAATCACAGCCTGCCATCTGGTGCGGGGTGTCTCATTGGAGCGTCTTCTATTTAGTTAAGTGCGGACTGTCAAATTACATGTAGAGCTCTTGGAACCAAAATACACAACGGCGGCTCGTCCGTAATTATTACGGATGTTGATTTTCTGGTTTAAGTTTTCATAGTTAAGCATAACATTAACAGGACACAAAATTAACGGAGGTAATGACTGCTTCGAAATTCTTGCTGCAAAAATAATTGCAGAATTCCGCTACATGGAATAAAGGGCTACATGGAGAAAATACATAATCTTTCAGATTGGACAGATTTTTGCAATTCAAACTCGATACTTTGTAACCATGTAGTAGCGAAGGGGAATAAGACAACAAAAGCAATATTGATGCCAATAATGGCTGAACGTCCCCATTAAAAAAAAACGCACATTTGTCTTTTAAACCAGAGGGTATTACTGCTCTAGCAGATTCTGGACAATGAAAATCACTAAGATTATACAACATGGTGGTGGCATTAATCTCTTAATCCAAAGCCTTTTGCATATTTTGTGCGCTACTTAATTAGAATTATAAATGACTACCGTGTCAGGTTAGATGCTATTTATGAGGTTAAAACTTTAACATTTAAAGTACAACAACAACAAAAAAAGAAGAAGATTAAATATCACAGACTTCAGTTTTCACTGCAATTGTGTGTTGAGTGCTGATGCACTTTTACTCAAACCAAGAGATAGGTTTGGTATTAAGAATAATGTTTTCGGCACCCCATTTGTGAAAGCATTTTTTAACCTGTCTTGCTGGTGTATGATCTGCTGATGCGTCCCCACATATTAAATGAAGTAGCAGTGCAGTGACTCTATTGTCATCGCTGTGGGGTAAGACTTGTTCCTGGGAAAAAAAAAAAAGTTACCTTTAACTGCTGAAGGACAGAGCAAACATGTGACCAGTTTCTACTGCACCACTAGACTGACAGTGCTGTGATTTCTCCCCTGTTCCCAGACACAGACGCGTCTTATACTGCAACCCGACAACAGAACATTGCTTGTGGCCGGAACTTAAGTGTCACAGACGAGCATCTATAGCAAAATAAATAAATAAATAGATAAAAAAGACAAAGCCTGCCGGCGAATCAGCTTCCGCCAAATTCAGAGCTGACACTGCAATGGTTAAGAATCATTTCCACCATTTATAGTATGGCGTGGAAAAAAAATGTAATTAAAACGAGCTCCGCCTGACACGAATGGCCTACTGCTGAACACAATCACACACGCTGAGCTCGATAAGCAAGTATCGACTTAGCTGATATAAAATATCTCGGTTTGCTCCCTGAAATCCAGCTTCATTTCCAAATTCAGTGGACATTAGAAAAATGCTTTATAGCATAATCCAATGAATAAACTAAAGGTTTTGAAAAGGGCACAAAATATATACAATTAATACAAATGGTTTCAGAAGGGCACAACAGATAAAGTAAAAACAAATCTCTTCCACAGATATTAAGTTCCTAGTAGAATGCTGAACATAATAAAAGGTATATTACGACGCTTGGAATTAACAACAACAACTCATCTCACTTGTATTATCTGGAATACTTATAACGAACCATGATTATTTAAAAAACAAGTAGGTTAAATTCAGAGAGTAATGTCAGAGCCTATGAGAAATGAACAGGGGTAATGTTATGTATTCTGTAAACAGCAATTAGGTATTAATTAACAGATCTCCACAGAACAGGATTTCTGGTTTCTCGTCACCCGTTCCCCACTCGCTGGGGCTCCACTCGCGTTGCCTGGCTACAACCGTATACCAGCTATTGCAGGGACGATGCCTCCGTGTCTGTACAGCAGGCCTCGTCTCATTAAACCCATGTTTTAAATTAATTTCCTCTACACATGAGCTGTGTCAAAAACGGCCAATAATAATGTATTTCACTGGGCCTTCAAAAACTGGCAAATTAAAGATCAAATGAAAATATGGTGCATGCAAATTATAAATACGACGGTTATTAAGTCACGAACTGGGCGTATATCATTATTTATGCCGTGGGAATTTAAGCTGTTTCTTTAAATTGGAATTAACTGTTATGTCACAGCCAAGGAGAAGAGCGTGGCAGAAGCTAAACTGTAAAAAGGTGGGTTACTGGTTAACGCAAAAAAAAATAAATAAATTCGGCAGCGTTTTAATAAGCAATCAGTGTAGTGAAACCACAGGAAGCAGCATGAAGCTGTCACGGTGAGTTTGAGCATGCGTGATGGATAGCAGGGAGTGGACGAGGTGTAATAGGAAGATCGCAGCGCTGGGCAGGACAGGGCAGAGAGACATACCGGTGAAGCCCATAAGCGCGCCCTCTCTCGCCTGCGCGCGGAGGCCCTCCTCGTCCTGGTAGTCAATGTAAACAAGGTCAATAGCCTGCAAGCCGAACGCTTTCGTCGTCACTACGACTTTCTGCCGTGCGTACAGGAGTTCTAGAGCATTCTTCGACCTCGTAGCACCTAGAATACATAAGAACGTACACCAACAAAAACGATCAAAAAGCAAAATCAGCATCCGATGCGCGACGGCACCCACGCTACAAATTCTATGGCGTGATTCTTGGTGATGCAACACTCATAAATAAAAATAACAGATTTACAAGTAAGAGTTAAATATTTTTTGGGTGTAGCTATATTGACGGTAACCAGGTAAGTAAAGGTAATGAAAAATAATTATTTTTTTAAGCATAAACAAAGTTCGAGAAGCAATATTTACATTTTGAATTGAACGAAGATTATACATATATTGCAATCTTATTATACGTATTAGAAAAAAGATATAGCTATATCTAAAATATTGTATAAATATATACCAATATTATATTATTTGCATTTTATGGGCTTACATGTGCATATATACATTTATTTTTAAATAAATCATAAATATACCAAAACCCATAACAATATTTCAGGAACAGAGGGATAAAGAACCTATGCTGGCACAGAAGTCATCGGAACCGAAGACCACGCCGTCGTGGTGCAGGCCGACCTCGGGGCCGAGGCGGAGGAATTCCTCGCAAACAGCCTGTGAGAAGGAGTGGAGGAAAAACAAAGGAGTGGATGGGTGTGCAGCCAGAGGAAGCTTGTATGCTGGCATCCTGACAACTCTCCCGAATCAAGCGTCTCGTGTTACCGGCACTATTCCCACACTTGCAGCCCCCTCTCCGACGCGCCGCGGCTCAACTCCCGAAGAATACGGTTTTAGGATTAAATCGGACCAGCAGAAACGAGACTCCACTTTGTGGTAAAGAAAAAACGGCCAGCTGTCAACTAAAGCCAACTGATATCTCTGTCATATCCTTCGCTGCTGAATTTTTTCCCCTTCCCTCCAGTTGAAATCAAGTGAACCTGCTGAAGTATGTCCATTACACTGACTACTGCAAAACAAGCCTCTTGGGGGGGGGGGGGCTGGAATCTGATACGCAATTGTGTCAGCAATGGAGCAGTTGGAATTTGTCTGATGCTTTTGTTGGGTTCCAAATTAATTTCACTTCTCGCTGTGACACAGCGATATTTCGCTGTCATGGCTCTGGGATTCAGCCTGGCTAAAGCACAAGCAGAAGCAGCCAGAACAACCAAACAAAGCGAGGAAGAAAAAAATAAAAAAATCAAAAGAGAGAGGACTGCATGTTTCCTCACAAAGACCCCAAAGGTGCCCTTTCCCCTGCTTTTGTGAAGGTCACAGAGGGGAGGAAAAAAAGCCTTCTGAATGATCAAGTTTCTTTACATATGGTAGAGTAAGACGGTGATTCCCTTTCTAAGACTGCCAATTACTTCATGTAAAACTGATTCAGTAAGTTAAAGAAAGTTAGATAAAGGAGCATGCTGGCCTGGTATGCCTTATTCACGTTGTCTCGAAAACAGGAAATAAAAACAAAACAAACAAAAGATTCTTCAGAAGCTATCGCTACGTGAATATCTTTCATGGTAATAACATGTTTTTGCGGAAGATATTTCCCCTCGTTCAGAGGTGAGATGTCTACAGAATGCTTGGGGTTAATGGATGCTGTTAACTGACCTTAAAATTGAGCAGGCCGACTGCACTCTCCACAAATGTCACCAGGCGAATGGGCTCGGTCAGAGTTCTCCCTTTCATATGGTGTTGAAATCTGTCCACGAACTGAAACCAAACACACACACACACAGACACACAAACAGACACAGACACAGACACACACAAAAGCTGCTCATATCCCAATATCGTACAAAAACCCTCAAAGTAAAACGGTAAAGCAAGAGCACAAGATTTATGTCCACGTTGCATAATGCTGCAGCAAATTTCAGGTAGAAATAAAAAAAATAACTCAAAATCCAAATCACAGGTCAGGAAAGACGGTTCTTAAGCTGCAACTTGTAACATTCTTTTATAAACAAACAGATAGGATACAACATTTAAAAAGTTTTGGGCACATTTTCACAGAATGTTCTTAAATGGTTCAAAACATACGCATGTAGGGAAACTACAAGACAGGCATGCTAAGATGGTAACTCAATGCGTAAGATGGTAACTCTTAATGTGTAAGATGGTAACTCTAGATAAACATTTACTTCACTGCATCTCCAATTTTTTCCATCATTATCTTTTTCCCAGAAGCCCTTCAAGAAAATAATACATGCTCAAGTTTGTACTAAAAGACGAATGCGTCTACAAAAGTGAATTCTCCCCGTTTGTCTTATTTTTATTTAACTAGTTCTTATCCAATCCCGAATCCCCTAAACAGAGTGACTTAGGTGACAACCTGAGTTTGATATGACTCTTAATGATTCACACTAATGTTTTAGGTTTCATTTAAAAAGGCATTAAAATGAAGCGGAGTTCTTTGAAGACCAAAGCATTCCAATTTTTTCCAACAGACCAGTTCACAGCGAGCTCTGGGCTGCCAGTAGGGTTATAGCCCAAATTCCAAAATCTATCATCTGGAAAGACACAAAAGCTCTCTCAGTTAGACTGTTCCTTTCAAAGCAAGTTTAAAAAAAAGGAAGAGGAGAAATCCCTAAAGTGGAAATCTGTTATTCCTTTTGCTGTCTCTCTTCCATCCGTTTCTACACGGATGGAAATGGGATGAAAATATCCTCAGGTAAGTGAATTTTTTTCCTTTTCACTTTGCAAAACAATGGCAAAAATACTGCGACCGCACATTTGTTTTTAACTCACATATTCCTTCATTGAATGATTTTTAAGGGGAATTTTAATCATCTCCCCATTCAATCTCAGTTGGATAAATCATATCTGAGAGATTTGCATAAATATAAACCATCAAAGACTTTCATCTTCAAAGGGGTTTTCAAGACCCAATGAGCTTTGTACTGTAATCAGAGGTCACGGCCCCCGCAGGAGTAACGCTGCCATGGCAACATTAAAACTAACTCTGAGGGCTTAGCATAATATTGTCCCTCACAGAAAGAAAATTGTGTTCCCAAACAGGGACACTTGTTTGGCGGCAGCTCAATTTCCTGATATTTTTGGAATTATTTTTAAGACCAAAAAAAAAAACAATAAAAGAACTCTGAATCGCTACTGCACAATGCGGCAGTCTCTGGCTGAAATAAAGTGTCGCAAGGTGAAATTATATACAAGCCCTTAGCAGCGCTACGATGGAGGGGCTATTAGGAAATCTTTGAGTGATAACAAATTACAGGTACATCCTTACAGGTCATGTTACACGGATAACTCTTCATGTAAATATTTATTTCCTCTGGTGTGACTGAAGAGCCAGTCAAGTGTTCAGGTTCTTTTTTTTGCGCAAAGACAGCCTTGATGTTGTTCAAGGAGCATTACTTTCAGGGTCTCCATTGTGGCATTATTAGATGGTGTTCTGGTTTCAAGAGCCACAGTCATTCTAGCTGTCAATTAGCCCGTGTGCTCAGGCCCCTTCCATACTTATCCAGCATTAAGTAAACCCCCCCCCCCCGCCCCCCCCCCAATTTAAAGCCAGATCCACCATTTTTGGCGTTAAAGTGCAGACCCCGGGAAAGAACATTTTTCGCTAAACCCATCGAAACATGTGAGTGAGGGGAGAGCTGGGAAGGCGGAAAGCAGGCAAGTTTCAATTAATTTCCTTCATAAGGGGGCTGGGGGGTGGGTAAGGGAGGGGAGGGGGGTAAGATTAAATGTTTCCGGCCTGCTGAAGTGTTCATTTCACAGAAGGGATAAAGAAACCAAGGAGGGGACCAGGCCCAAGTGATTCTTTCAGTTTCAGTGCACACCAAACAGTGCACTGGCAAGAATGCACACTGCTCGGAATCTGTGGAAGAATTGTCCTCGGACAAAGAAGGGAGTTACGCTTGTTATAGTCCAATAAGCCTTGTCAGTCAAACAAGCACAGAGCAAGAGGACAATAGCCAAGCAAGAGATTCTCACACAAAAGGAAACAAGTAAGCCCATCTTTTAGCAACAAATCAGTCTTGAGCTTCCCCTCCTAATATAAATAAAAAAGGCGAGAAAATAAACAGGAGAAGGATTTACAGCGCAGCGTACAAGTGAGGGAATAATGAGCGACGTATTCAAACCGCGCCTCACCGAGGACGGGCCCACGACTGTCTGAGGGCCTGCGGTAAACACAGCGACCCATTAACCAGCAGCACTTTGTGTCACACGCCCAAAAGGCAATGGGAAAACAAAAACAAAGGCAAAACATAACTTTAGTGCCATTGCGATACAAAAGAATTAAGTGCTTTAAATATTAATTGCTGGAATGGGTATAAAATTTTAGTTGTGTTCAGAAAAAGCAGGTCTAAGTAACTTCACCAGGGTTTATTTTTGTACTGTTTATTGCTGTTGATGAGTGAAAGAATCAGATAAGAGATGGTGAAGCAGGCACAAGGGATCAGGGTTAACGTCCAATAAACCAGGTGTTACAGATAAAGTTACTAAATAGTGAAAGAAAATAAACCAGGTGTACTGTACTTATGTATGATTCACTGGCAAGATTCTAGCAAAATACTTTAGTCACCATGATGATTCTTTGACTAATATAATCTCTTGACGTGTGATGACTGAAACGACTGGACGGATTGGCGCATATCATCCAAACACGTAAGGAAGCCATTAGCATCTCTAATAGCTCTTATAAAGTAGTAGGGCCGAAAAATATAACAAATATCATGAAAACAGATCCATGCACTTTGAACAGTTCACTACATAAAAGAACCCCCCCCCCCCAAAAAAAGAGAAAAACTATACGAAAACAAAAATAAATGAAAAAGTATAAATGAGAAGCTTGTAGATGGGGGCTGTCAAGGACAGCAGCTGGTGTGTTGAGCCAGTAGTTTCGCATCTTCTGGTCGCCCCCCCCCCCCCACAAGCAGCTGCCTCTGTTAGGTCACTGTAGCATGACTTCCATGCTGTTCCCAGTCTTCTCTGCCCCGCCGACGGCTAGTGCTCCACCATGTGTGAAGCATGAAGAAAGCGTGTTATCCTCTCTCACACATGCACACGTGTTAACATGTCGATGGGAATCAGTGCGATACCAAAATGAAAGTATATTGACAACACGCAACGACAAGCAATAACATCGAAAACTTTCATAAAGACTAATTACCCAAATTGAGGTATAATAATATCATTATTTTGAACACATTACGCTACAATGCATTACGTTTACATTGCACTAATTAAGTTATGCATTGTTTACATTGCACTACATTCTACAATGCACAATGCCTATATGTTTATTGTTATAACTGTATTAGTATTTACTGTATGCACCTTAATTTGTACTTGCGATCTGTGTTTTTCTGTTTACCGGAAGGATATACAGAGTAAGAGTTTCATCACATAGTGGAAACTTTTTCTGTGCATATGAGAAATACTCCCAAATCATGAATCTACAGGGAATCTATAACCCAAATGTGTTTTTTCCTCATTTATTGTCTTATTGAGTTTTCTAACTTTTTCAAATTTTTTTCATTGACCTACTAAGTAAATAATGTGCTTTTCACTTCATTTGTATGTCACTCTGTACAAAAGCACCTGCCAAATAAATAAACGTAAATGTCCTGCACATTTAAGTGTAACTGCATACCAATGTATCTGTACTTAACAAGGCGAAAAGTGAGAATGTACAGACTTGCTGCTATAAGAAAGAAAGCTGAAGATTACGGTACAACCCGTTCTGAGATTGTCAACATGGGTCTGAGGTGCGGACTGATTTACAGTGTGAGAATACACACGCTCATTCCGGCGAGCTTGACACTGCCTGCCTCATCGCACTCATTCATAAACGCAGTAAATAAAAACCAGCCAGCTGAAATGCGAAAAATGCAAAGTACATTGCAGACGCACACGACCTATTTTTGTATTCAGAGTACGTCAAGCAAGTAAACACAATTAAACGATCAAAGAGACAAACACCGACTCCGCTGGCTCGTTGTCACGGATTAATTGATCTCTCAATTTGCTGCCTGTGTTAAAATGACTTTTCTACAAGGGAAAAAAACAAAAACATTTCCAAAATTGCTTGGGAATATTTTAAAACACCTGTCAGCAATTAAAAAAGGAAAAAAGAGCAGTGGCCCGGAAATATATTGGCACTAATTAAAAAGACTAGTTAAAAACTTCCTGCTCCTTGCCTGAAGTTGCCGTAAGAGCCAGACTAACCCCCCCCCCGTACCTAGTAAAGGGCCTGGGATTATTTTCAGGCTCTTTCATAATGACTGTGGAGCTACAGGGAATGGCCACATTTTGTGCTGAATGCTGTAGCCTGTACAGCGCACTGTGAATCGGGCAGGGTGAGGTGGGGGGTGGGGGGGCGGGAAGGGTGGGGGGGGCATGAGGCAGGGGGTGTGTGTGTCCGCAACGACAAATACACACAAGAGTGACCCATATGGAGCCGATCAGGAAGCAAGCTGTTTCATGATGTCACCGTCTCCTGACCTGTGAGTAACTGACATCCGTGCAGCAAACTTTTATAAGAAGCCGCGGGAATAATTTGCCTTGAAGTGAAGCCTGTCGCCGATGTCTCTGCCTGTCTTAGCGGAACAGACACTGTGGCATCCGGTCAACAGCCCGGAGAGGGCGTCGTGTCAGCAGAGTCCCATTTCCGAGGTGAAATCACCAAAGCCCTCGGGCGCGGATTAAGACATAAGCCCTCCACAACGCTGCGGCATGTATTTATGTCTTAAAACCTTCCCATTAAATATCACAATCCCCCCCCCCCCCCAAGTGAAATAAAAATTCCATGCGCTTCAATAATGGGTTTTATGATGTCTATGTTTCCCGTTGTTTTCCAATCGCAGCCAAGCACATGTCAAGGTTTTTTTAAGTGCTGGCTTTCCTGTAGTACCACAGTGGGTAGAGTTAGGAATTGTTCTCATTTCTAGACATCTCCGACCTCCAAGTCAGATTTCAAAATGTCATCTGCTCCTTGAGCGCACGCCAAGAAAAACGGAGTCTACCCCCTCTACCCAGCTACAAGGATCAATTCCGATTTTACAGAGAAAAGGAAAAGTTTGTTATTTCTCCTTTGAAGGGACCTGTGGTTTCCTCTTACTTCATGAGTTTATATACGAGAACCACTGTGTTCTTTATCCCGCGTATGTGGTTGGGGGGGCTTAAAATGTCATGGATATTTTTAGTGTTTCTCACTCTACTTGTTTGGCCGAGTTTAGAATTTCCTACCTCACCCCAGAGCCCTCTGGGGAAACTTTCTGCATCACCAGCATTTGACTTCAATATATTTTGTGGGCTGTGGATATTTTAAAATCGATGCGTCTGCAACATGAATCGTTTCGCCAAAAGACTGCTTCGCATTCGCCAATACTTGCCATACTCATACACATGACAGATTAAAGAAAGCAGCCCTCCACTGATTTTCAGTTCCTCTTTGGGCTTTTCTGCCTCTACTTCCCGCCCTTGCCCCCAAAGCCCCTCCACGGGGCCTGATTTCGCATCGCTGCACCATTGCTGGCCTGCCCATGTTACAGCACTAGTCGCACCCAAGGTCTGGCCATCTTCACAACCACAATCATTCACCTTCCTCAAAAGAGCGACTGTCTGGACAAAATCGCACGATCAAAATTCCGGAATTCTGCAGAACAAGAACACAAAAGAGAGATGCTGTATATCAAGGAGCCCACTCACCCACTGCACTTCCGCAGTGCCCTCAACCTTGGGCAGCATCAGAGCCGGGGGCAGGAGCTCCGCCTGAAGGATGACTGACAGGTCGAGGTCGGCCAGGCCGCTGGACACGGAGTTGACCCGGACGCACTTTTCTGTGCGGCCCAAGTTCAGTTCCGGAAGCATCCTTCGGATGGTCTCCCGTGCTTCTTCCTGCAAGGGCAGAAATGAACCGTGTTGATAACTACACAAAATAAAGCACAACGTTTAGCTGTAAAAACGTTTGTAAAAACGTTTAACTGTTTTTACAATGCGCTTCTCTGGTCCCAGTAGACAATTCAGGTTCTCTCAGGGTATCCAGATGGCACCAAACACAGCTCATTCATTTTTCCAGCTGAAAGAAGATCATTATTTACAGCCTGATATTGAAAAGCATATCCAACATAAATGCGTCAACATCAGGACAAAAACACAGATGTAGACTACATTTTTGGGCTGACAAAGAATGGGTTAAGGGGTTTTGACAGAATAGTCATCAGGATGAAGAAATCATAAAATATTCTTAAAATGAACAATTCAGTGAACTCATAAAACATTTTCAGAAGCAAATTAATGTTTTATTTTTTTCTCGGCTTTCCAAGCAATTTATGTACTACATTGGTTCTGAAAAGAAATTATGCAATACACAAACCATTTGAACGTTCAATTGACAACAAGCATGTAGGACAGCGAACACAAGAGAAAATGTTTCGAGAAAATTGCATTTTGGTGTATGGCCGTCATATGGAACAATTTAAAGGCAAAAGGGAAACACTATACATGAAATAGATAAATTTAGAAACAATTTTAGTGTTGACAAACACAGCTTGACACGTAAGATTTAAAATAAAAGATTCTGTTATCTTAAGACATTAAAATTGCACAACAGGAAATAAAAAATAATGCATCATGTCACTGACTTTGGAGGGAATTCATTTGTTTAATTTAAGAGTTGCTGTGATGAGGCTGAAGCTGCTTTCTAGGAATAAGGTATAAATCAAGACATATAAAGGATGTTCTTTACTGGCATGTGCATGAGCCACAAAGACAGGACTCTGCGCCATCACTGAGTTTCTCATCAGCTTATCTAGTTTACTTACTCGCAACACAGGGTGACTTACAAACGAAGGCATTGAAACAAGAGGACAGGAAGAGAAGCAAGGCAGGAGATGAGGATGGAAGGGCAAAAAGAAAAAAAAAAATATCAAAGTCAGTCCTCATTCCTGTGCCTATCAGTGTCACAACAGCACACGCCTGGAGATTCAAAACAGATGTCTGTGTTTGGGAGGGGATTTTGTGGGGGGGGGGGGGCTACTTTGGCTGAAATGTGGAGGTTCTGTGGAAAAAAATGTGGTGCTAGTTAAGTGTGGTGAGGAAACGGTAGCTTAGGAGTTGTCAGGTCAGATCAGAGGCGAGGCCAGCCGGTGTGGGACGGGGGGCTGGAGGTAATTAGCAAGGCTCCTCGGACAGGGGGGGGCAGAGACGCAGGGAGGCTTGAAAGGGAACCGGAATAATGAAGCGCAAAGGTTAATGAAACCTGAATGAGAGGAACTTTGGGTTCGGTCATCCTTGCACCATTCACAAATAAGCCTGCGCACAAAAAACACCCCCAGACTGCTCTCCTCTGAGCCTTTCTCACACAGAATAGTGTGAGGAAAATGTGTGTGTGGATGGCGGGGGGGGGGGGGGGCTCTTATGAAGGACAGGACAGGGCTGTGAAGCCTAAGCAGTCACCAGTCACGCTTCTCGCTTTGGCGGTAATATGTTGTCTCCCGGTTAAAGAGCCGCGGTTTGGACAGGTGATAAAGTACTGAGGTGATCCTTCAACACCTTGTCGCAAGGTGTAGCACTCAGTGTCACATGTCCGTGTGGCACGGTCACGGAGAGGCGGGCGTGAACCCAGCACCCGACGGCATCCGAAGTGTGCAGCCGATAGGAACACTGAAAGGCATAAGTCTGAGGCTCATAATCCCATAAGAGATCGGCCATTTTTTTTTGGCTGCGTACAAAGTCAGGCTCCCACATCAGGTGTGCGATGTTATTAAGATTGGATAAAAAGCAACCTATTCTTCGGAGTTCAATCCTCTGCACAGCCAACCACTACATTTTCTTAGAAATTTATGCTAAGAATCCCAAGTCTTTTGGCTCTCAGTGTAATGAATAAGAAACAGTATATCTCAATAGGCAATTCTTCAATACTTGACAGTCGACAGATAAGGTTCTCTGTTAATTTGTGGTTTTACGACTCGTAAGGAGTGCAGCTCCTGTGGACTGAGACCGAGTCGGAGCTCCAGTAAAATGCAAGGTTTTACATTAATGAGTCACCTTCTGACAAACAACTTCAAAGTTCCCTCCCCAGCAACCTGCATCCCACAGTCTCTGTGAAATACAAAGTTTTAGCCGTCTTTCATTCCCTCCATCAATTCCAGCACTATATCTTGACATATGAAAGCCCGACAGCGTGCACACGAGATGCTTAAGAATACACGCGAGATGTTCTTTTAACTCCGGTAATCCAGAATGCCTCAAAGAGGTCCACTACAAAAAAAGTACTGAGAACTTCATATTTAAGCTTCCAGCAGAGTCCAAAGACCAAAAAAAAAAAAAAAAAGAAAAACTGAACATTACTCTTGCAGATTACACAGACAGAGTAACTATGCAAGACAGGGCGATATTCAGACGGCAGATCGATGTAAACACCGGTTTGTGCATGCCGTTGTCATGTGTGCACGGGATCGCTGTAGGTGGCGACAGCTCATGCAGAAGGAGAAATCCAGGGGACCTTTTCACTTCCCTCATCCAGAAAAAGAAAGGGAGCGTGACTGTGTGCTGAAAAAGTGGACCCTGTCACCCAGAGAACTGTCTCTCGAATGCCAGAGGAGCCAGAATACACACACACACTTAAATACACACACGCACATAAATACACACACGCACATGGGCGTGCGGTGAGAGGCTGCCACATTCCAGCGGCCTCTCTGTTGATAATTACATTTAAACCACAAAACGACCGATTATTAACAAAATAAAATGAATACAAATCTGGCACTTCTAGTTTCTTAAATCTAACATTCCTTCAGCTGAATTCTGGAAGTGAAAACACGTAGAGGTGTACGCACTTCTTAAAACTGAAATCCGCTGCGATTCAGGCCTCTGAGATTGCTGAGTCACAGAGGGCTGCAGATGTTTCTTTTTTTTTTTTATAACCAAAAACTATGAGTCATCGTTGGGTTCTAGTCACCAATTTCTGTGCATTGTGCAGATCCATTAGGTATGAGGTATAGCAGACAGGCAGAAGGTCTCTTATTGGCCAGGTGACCATCTGATCACTGGGAAAAGTGCTTTCCCAAAAAAAATCACATATGGAATTAGCTGTTCCGCTATGATATACGGTGTTATTTTCCCATTTCCTCCAAAGGAGCGAACATATCCTATTGTGCTCTGCTTTTGAGACGCGCAAAACTTGGGGTCGAAGCATAGGGTAACCCATTATCATTCATTCAAAGTGACTTACAGTAGAGGGACAGGTTACAATTTATGCACCCTCCCTGGGATTTGAACCCGTGACCTTGGTGTTGTTAGTGCAAGGCTCTACTTGTTGGAGTACAGGGGCTGTGATTTATCTAATGCCCCTGGAGCATTTTTCAGGGGGCTAAAGGCCTCGCCGCAGAGCCCCACAGTGAGGCAACTACTCTGCCAAGCGTGGGATTCAAACCCGCGACCTTCCGATCACAGGCACAGAGAGCTAACCTGCTGAGCCGCTGGGCAGCAAGGCATGCGGAGCATTTAAAACTTCCCCAAATAGAGACATTTTCAACTTCCAGCTGCTGTGTTACAGGTGAGGTCTCATAGTCTCGCTCTTTTTTTCCTCTTCTTTTTCTTTCCTTACCCTGACGGCAGAGGTAAAAGTCTGTGAAATCTGATTTCCCCCCGCCAAGGACAACATTATTCTCAGACGGGCTTTGTGAGAGCCCAACGGAATGGCGTCTCTGGCCAGCAGTGGGCCCCTCCACGCTTTACTGTACGCTTTCATGCTACTCTTACCGCCACTGTCATTTTACGGCAGGATTTTGCCCCCATCTCCTCATGAAAACATTCCAGGGCCATTATACGGTCTGCGACACCACCCGCCCCCCCCAAGTGCCAAGGAAAATAAGGGCTTGTAATTTGATAATGAGAGCTGGAGAAGGCTGGAGAAGGCTGGAGGAGGCTCGCCCTTTTCTCGACGCCTAAGCGTTTTGCGATACGCCGGCCCGCCGCGATCTCCCGATGTATCGAGGGACTCAGGGCGAGGTAGATTGACCTCTAGTGAGCACCTGTGGGGCAGGCCAAGGGGGGAGGGTTACCCTGGCAGATTCAGGGAGCCCAGCACCTTAAAAGGGGCCGTGGAACAGGAAAAGGATTGCTGCTCAGCAAATTATAGCAGGGGGACTGGTATTTCTTCAGAGTGAAAGTGGCGACCTTAGGGGGGGGGGCAAGGTGACAATTTGTCAGGGGCTCAGAATTTGTAGCCACGCCCCTGCGTACACAGGCGGATCACGGCAACATCCTACACCAATAAGTTATGTGCCCACAAAGATATTCTACTGAAAAGCCCCCCCACCCCTCCTTCTCCAAACCAAATCTGCCAATATCCACCCTCACAAAATGTACGTACTTAGTGGGTGCTTTTATCCAAAGCGACATTACAACTGAAACCAGGGTCAGATGGTCCCTGGAGCAACTTGGGGTTAAGGACCTTGCTCAAAGACCCAACGGTTACATCACTCTGTTGACTGTGGGATTTGAACTGACGACCTTCTGGTGACAGGCGCAGCGTCCTAACCCGCTGAGCTGCACACAGCCTTCCACTTTCTCGCCCTGTACACCACAGCCCTGTATATAGACACTTAGGGAAAGGAATTTCCCCAGTGGGCCCGCAGTGTGAAGTGACTGGCCAAAATGGCTCCCCAGTTCCCCCCTCAGGGATGGAAGGCCTGAAGACTGGGCCAGCAGCGGGGTGAGATGAGTCACCGAAAATGGCTGGCCGCCATTCTCCACGACGCGGCAGGAACACAGCCGCCGACGTTCGCTGGTACCTGAAAGCCATCACCTGAACACGAGTAGCAGTCATTACTGCCGCCAGATCAGTCATTATTTGTGAAACACATGCGAGGACTGGCCTACCCTTTAAA